GGGGGGGTTCCTGCCACTGAACAAGATAAGCATTTCCAAGAACCAACGTATGGATGTTGTGTTCTCTCCTCAGTTCCACTGAGTGCCGCCCCAAGCAGAGACTCAAAGTGAGACAGAGGCACGACCGTCACGTTGAGGTGACAAACCCGACTCTCTCAAATACAAAAAAAGGCAAGGAATTGACTTCTCGGTTCCTCCTGCTGAGTCAGGAAGGCCGGACTTGTTCAGCAGGTAGCCTTCATTAACAAGAGGACAGTAAAAAGAAAAAAAAATCAGCAAGCAGGAACAAGGAGGGGCACAGGACATTTTCTCTTCTCTGCCTACTTGCTGCTCCCCCTTCAAGCGGAGAATCGTCAGAACTTTATTCCATGGCAAGTGAAGGACAGCTGTGACGCTGTCTTGGGTTGTTTCCGACACAGCCACGACATTCAAATGTTCCTTTTCTCCCTTCCCCAAGTAACAGGTGTCTGCGATTCCAGAAGTGCAGCAGCGCCTTTCCAACTTCTATCCTGGGGGGTCCTCAGTTATTGGACTGTACCGACAATGATGTGCAAGAAGCGCCTCATATGGTATACTGTATTCTTTTGAAACACAAACAATTTAACAGGATTGGCAAGGAAGAAGCCTTTCGCCCTGGAAAAGACGAGACTGGATATTTGAGAGGCTCTGGACGACGATCGCTCCTGTCACAGCTAAATATAGAATTATAAAATAGGTAAGGATTTCTTTCAAACAATCTAGACTATACTGGTACGGCTTGCCTTACGGATGGATGGCTGGCTGGATGGGGCTTCGTATCCGGAATCATAAAGTCTTGTGATGAACGCGCTTGTGCATTTCGGCGACAGAGACTCTCTACACTTGGCTTTTTAGCCACATGCACAGACGTCAAGTGGCTGGCGATAACTTGAGGTGTGAACTGGCTCTTGATAAATAAAACAGACTTGACTTGAGCAAGGGAATACACATTTTCACAAGGGCCCAATGGGATAGGTTTTGTGATTGTGGCTTCAGTGGCCCCATGTGAAAGGTGGCTAGTTTACAACGAAAAAACAAGACGGGTTTAGTATCCGTTCGCAAAACAGGTCAGTCACACCGCAAGATGCGGCCCACTCACGAGATGTCATCTCACTGCCGAGCCTACACAGTCCCACCAGCAGATGGTGGAAGCTGATGAAGCGGCAGGAAGTCATAAGCAAAGACGGAGAGAGTTCGACTGTGATCTTGCATCACATCAGGAATTTGGGGGGACGGCAACCCCCTCCTCTGTGAATGTGTGTGTGTCACCGTGTGAGTGCTGGCGAATGAGTCATGGCAAAGATTTCAGAGGGGTTCTTTCAACATCCTCCTCCTCAGCTTCCCACTAATCACTAACTCGTTTCAACTCCGTTCGCCCAACCCCGACTCTCATTTTCTGGGCGCGGGTGTCATCGCGACATCAAGCTCATTGAGAGATCAGAAGAAGTGAAGAAGTAGGATGAAAAGAACGCAAGAGATGTGTGAGGGAGGACGCTTTCAGATGAATCCGAGGCCGCCTACTGTGTTGCCTTTGTTCAATTGTGTTTGGTATAATCGCTAAAAAAAAGTGACGGCGACACACCCCCACCCAACACACACACACACACACACACACACACACACACACACACACACACACACACACACACACACACAATAGTTTGTCAAACACTGTCGATCAAGGGGCTTTTATTTAGCTAAGGGCAAAGAGTAGTGGACATTTTTTGGAGATTGTCTTTTTAGAAGTTAATTCATATAACATTTAATAGTGCGGTATTCATTTACATATTATTCTAATCATTTGCATTCACTCATTGTAGTCTCTGTTTTATTAGTGTATGATAATTATAATAAATGTATCAGAATGAATACTTAGCAGTGTTCTGATGTCAAATGTCAAAGCAAGGGCAATTTTTTTTTTTGTTACAAATTTTATTATCTTACCATTCCTTTCCAGACATAAATAGCATATTTAATGAAGGTGATGGGTCGACGAGAGCAGAGGCCACTATGGAGATATGGTACGCGTAAGCATCACAAGTTGCTAAGTCGAACATAGTGATGGCTGTTATGTATAAATTATACCTTCACTGGCCGCAACATTAGGTACACCTATACATTGTGATTAAATACAGTGGAAAAATATAAAAAAGTGTAGCCACAATGTCACAAGCACGTCTCCGTCGATGCAGTGTGGTTGCACAAGCGAAATAATGAGCATATGGCGAATGAACGAACACCACTCTGACAGTGACAGTAAAAATCTTGCATTAAGATCTTTGCAAAGGCGGAATCTTTGTATCCAGCTCTTGCATCGGAACTCATTACATTACGAAGGTGTACCTCATTGGAAGTGTCTCGTTGGCGTGCACTCTATATTTAGACGCACGCATAATGCGCTGCGTCCCAAATTACTGAAATCACATCAGATTCCCGTTTTGTTTGCTGAGCGTCTGAGTAAGCAGAGAAAACATCTCCCCCCGCTCATGATTGCCTCTGGGAGCTATTCAAGAATATTGGGTTGGGTTTTTTTCCCCTCCCTCTACAATTGACATTTAAGCGGCAGTTAGCGCGACCGTATGAGCCCATGCCGCTGTGACAACCCTTACCGTCGTTTGTCCTGCAAACATCACGCGTCTTTGTACACAACCGAAATTTGGCAGAGGAAAAGAATGGCTTTTATGCAGATTTGTTGGTAAAATCTGGGGGAAATAAAGAAATTGCTCATAAATTAATTGAATGTCCACCGATATTTTTTTTTTCTTCTCGTTAGTCCTCATTACGGTTGTAGGTGTCCTGGAGCCTATCCCAGCTAACTTCAGGAAAGAGGCAGGGCACACCCTGGACTGACAGCCAGTCAATCACAGTGCACATATAGACAAACAACAATTCACACTCACATTCACACCTTAGGGACAACTGAGGCTAGATTTTCACTGCATGGTTCAAATGACTTTTTTTTTCTCTCAAATGGCTTAATTTGGTAGTAAAAATAGAAAGAAAAAAAACGGGAAAAACTCACGCAAGCAGAGGGAAAGCATGCAAGCTCCCGGCATTTTAATATAGCGCCAAATATCAACATCGGGGTGGTAAAAAAAATCATTACAAGATGCTGACCTTTGCCATGACAATGTTCCTGAGCTAATCCAATTCCGCTTAGCACTCAAGAACACCACCGGAAGGCACCGGGCCACTCCAGCAACTTGATATGGCGGCACTTTAAATGTCAGCAGAGAAAAATCAACACAAAGTGCACTTGGCCCTATGTTTGAAGTGTGAGTCTGGAAAAAAAAAAAGTTGACATCTTTTGAGTCAAAAAGGAAAAAAAAAAAAAAAAAAAAAAAAATTTCAATTATCCCGGACCCC